AGCTTTCGGGGGTTTATGGCCCCTTGAAACCCGTGGACCCCACGCCTATATTATATATACACTCAACTCAGGACCCGCGGAAATCCGCGGGATTCTAGAGGGGGTGCGCAGGCAAAAAATTAAGTTTTTCATTTCGGGGGCTCCATTTCAAATTTTAGGGAAATTTTCGGGGGCTCTTTTTTCTGGGGCTACTTTTTCATTAATTCATATAAGGATAGGCCTACACTTTGTTGAGATTTGTTTAGTAGGCTATTAGGTTTCAGGCTTCCTACTTCATAATTGCCTATTTAAAAAAAAAAAACATTTTTCTAGTTCAATAACTAAGTTTTCATGCATTGATTTGATGCAAGAACTGTAACATAATAGAACCTAGATTGTGATTATTTCTGACCATGAATTTCGATAATCATTTTTCAAAGTAAAATTTTCACAGGAAAATCAAACAGTCTTTTAAAAACGTAGACATTAGAGTCTAGTAATACTTTTACTAATTCTAAGCTCAGGTTTCGTAAATCTATTCACGAAACTATATTGAAATCGCGGCAATAATGATGCAAACCAACAGATAACAATTTCAAAGTGTCAAATCTCTTCGACTCGAATTCAACTCACACACTTTCAACTGCAACTCAGCTCATCTCACACACACTACACAGTGGCAATGCACTGTCAGTTACGGTGATTTTGTCTGATTTTCTTTACTTTGAAGAAATGATTATCAAAATTACGTAAACATGGCGAGAACATCACAAAATAGGCTTTAATTTCATACCTCTATTTATGGAAACTTTATAATATTGCAGCAATCGTGAATTCGTGATGGAAATTGATTGCAGTTTCGCGATGTTTAGTGGTTCATGGTCTAGATTCAGCTTCTACCAAAACAAAATCGACCGCCAAAAACTCGAGCCCTACGCTCCGTCTCGATCTCGCAACTGCGAAAATGTACGTGTTTTGGCGTACTTGCGTGCGACATGGTAAGCCAGGTAAGGTATGGAATATGGTTCGAGTTTTTTTTACGACCGATTTTTGTGTACACAATTTTGTGTGTCTACGGATGCAATGTTGAATATCCATGAGGTATCTCTGTCGTCACGCATATCCTGCATTATGCATGTCGCGTCTGTTTTCGCCCTGGACGTCGACACGGAGGAGGACCTCGGGCGGAGTATAGCCAATTCGCTAGAGTAGACTCTCCCGCGGACGACGGCACCGGTCACCGGTACCCCGAGGGGAGGGTTCAGGAGGAGATAGCTGCACCAACTTGTGTCGGCGATCTCATTAAAAAACAATAGAATACAAAGGCCGGCGGAGACGTCGCGCCCCCCGCGGAGCCTTAGCGTATTACTATTATAGATTATCAAATCGGCGCCCTCGACTGCTACTCGAAGTAAAATCGTGTTAGTTTTCGGAGACGGACGTAGTATCTGTATGGCGTAGTATGGTGGTTGCATAAAAAACAAAAAAAACATGGCGTCCGAGTATTCGCTTGTAAGCCTGGGAGTGTAATCGAGTACCTCATTACACGGTTATTCACAGCCTTAGTAGAGACTTGGGGGGGGGGGGGGGGCTCGGGGTACCTTTTTTTTGTAGATTCTCTTTTGTGTATTTAATTTTGTATAGTATGTGAAAGATGCTCATCTAAAGTACAGGAAATGTTGTTTATGTTCTGGATGTAGTATCATATTCCAATGCAGAGCATACATACATGTACGTGTAGAAAAGCTCTATTTGTTGTTGTGTGTACAAGAATTGATTTTGCTCTGTGGTGTGTCTAATCTGTCTGTACTTGAGGATAATGATGAAAAAGAGCAGGCTTCTTACTTCACAACAAATATTTGTCCTTCTTCAGCACAGTTAATCCCTTTTGAATTTTGTATCTTTGATGAAGTGACCAAGGCCAATTATCCCCCCCCCCCCTGTTAATCAGATTAGTGTATTCTATTAAATTAGATTAAAAGCTTAGTGAGAAAACTGCAAGCTGTAGGTGAGGTTATTCTGTGTACCTGCATACACCTGTAGATAAGCTAGTGTATCATCTGATCTGTATGTAACCATGGAGATATTCTGTTTACTTTTTTCATAATTTTGCTATTTGATTTCAAAATTAAGAAAACAAACATTTTTTCTGGTGAGAACGTGCGATATATTTACTAATGAGAAACAAACCTGAAGTGATATGGATTGAGCCTCTTCACAAAGGAAATAGATTAGAATGGATGAATGGAATATGAACGTGACACTTGTCAACAACACCTTATGCGGTTTGGGGATTATGTACAACTGTACATAAGTAGTTCTCAGTGTCAACTATTTGATAAAACTGATAGAAAGTGCTTGCAGGACCTCCTTACTGTTATCTTATATTATACACTTATATCCGGTATGCAGAAATAAGGGATATACATGTACATGTACATGTTCTATTTTATATGTATATGATACGGTAGGGTGGAGGCATTTCAACTGTACTTTAAGCATTTGTTATTGCAGTGATGATTCAGTATCAAAAGCGGATTTTTATATTTGTGTCTACCGAAGTCGTAATACCCATATGTAGCATTTACAGGTCTCCCTCCTGTACATTCATTGTACATTTTAAGCAATGTAAAGAGCCGAGCCTAAATCAGCTTGACAATAGCTCTGACAAACAACCTACATGAACATGTACGTTGCCACAGTACTCTGTAGCTAAATTTATACTGCAAGCAAAAATCTTCAATTTTTCTCAGATTTCTGTATTTCTTCGGGAGTTGCTAAGCAACCACCGGCAAAAAACAAATAACCAAAATAAAACGCTGGCCAAACTTTCACTGATATTTGCAATGTAAATGCCTGCTCTCGAAACATTGGTGAATGATTTTGGTTTTTGGTCACATGACTCTTTTTTGCTTTCGTGCGATCACATGCAGAGCAGCAACAAGTTGCGATGGATGCGTGCTACCCATCAAAAAATAGGAATGAGCAAACACCAACGTTTTTTAATGGGTTTGTCTATTAATGTGAATGGCTGTTTAAAGGTAAAGACTAGTTTTGGAAACACCCCCCCTCTCAAAAAATGAAATGGAAGCTCTTATTACCAATCATGTGAAAGAATATGTTTTGACTAATACGTGATCGTACAAATTTTGCTGAGAAACCGCCTACTAATTGATATATTTGGTAAATTATTATATCTGATAGATATAACGCACATGTCGTGCACGTGTGCATAGTCCCATATACATCTTTCTGTGTACAGTGCTTGTAACTTTACCAAGACTGGGCCAAATTTCCTATCATTTTGATGATTCCAGAACCGTGCAGTACACACCAATACTTATATACTTCTTGATAATGGTGTTTTGGCTGTGTACAGTAAATGGGCCTATCGCAGTGTTTACTGCACTGCTCATGCCTACAACAAGCGTACACCTTCCATGGACAATAACAAGCTTATGTGCTTCTCTCGATCAGCTCAGGTATGAAGAAAGAAAGATTCAGGAACAGATTGAAATGCCCCCAAGGGTTAACCTGTAATTGAACTCTCACAAGTCTGTTGAAAGTCATCAAGGTCACCCTGACACATTTTAAATAGAATCTCCAGGCAATTCTTTGGTTCCTTATTATCATGGCCAGTTGTCGACTTTGCTTCCCCTTCCTAGTACTACTATGGTACTAAATACTGTGCTATAAAACCTGAAACTTATGGACATGACACTTTAGTGAATTAGAGTTAAAGTAAAATCCAACCTTGACAGCAAACTGGTGATAGTTAAAATGAAATCAGAAAAAATAAAATGAGAAAGTTATTAATTTTGAAAGTTGCATTCACTACAGGCATGGGCTCTTCAGATTGGCTGAATGGGTAATGTCTCGGTGATGTAGTGGAGGACAATTTTCCCATTTGTTCCAACACACAAAATGACTACCATTTCAACTAAAAACAAAAATGTATGACTCAGAATGTCCTTCATTTCATAGGACCTGTAATAATATACTCTCCATAATAATAATATATCTGGAGTAGTGCCACAAGGGTGAAGGCACTTGGGAGAAAAATAGAAATAAGTGATATTTTTGCAAAGGACACACATGAGAGTTGGCTTATCCATCATAACTTCACAACCCACCAACAAAATTGCAAATTTGAGATTCACATAGCTGTAGTGATGTCATATTTCAAACATTTATAACTTTCTTTCGGTCCAATCATTTCAAACTTTTGCCATTCTGTTTCTCTGATTTTTCTGCTTTCATTTAAATGACCTTATTGCAAGGGTTGTATTTCCCTTTAAGGATGACCATTATCATTGTAGGAAACTTTAGAGAGATCCAATGTTCGTTCTCTCTGATTAAGTATACATGTAGATCTAGGCCTATATTCCTGGTTATGAGATGAAATTTCCTCTTTTTTCCCTGAAATGGACGACAACCTGTCCTCGACAGTCAACTTTAATCGTCGACTTCAACCGTAACTGACAATTGTTGACGTACATTCCCATTACGATATCATTCTTCACGCCCCATTGTCCTCTTGCTGATAGTTTACCACATTATTTGGTCTGATTGTGACAAAGTCATGTCTCTGATGGCCTGCTTCGTTCTGGAAGGGTGAACTGAATGTGTGGCTTGTAATACCAGATCTACGCCTGTCACGTTAAAAAGCATAACAGCTGCATCCTTGTTCTTATTTGATTATAAAGAGTGTGCAATAAATGAAATGTGGATGTGTGATTGTGTGTGCGCATGTGGGATAGAGAGGGAGAGAAGGGGGGGGGGGGGAGTTCTACAATGGTAGAAAGAGGGGGAGTGGCAAGTGAAATATCATTTTGTATGGCTATTTATAAAGCCAAACTGAATTTACCTATCATCTTTTTATTTTATAATGCCATAAGCTTTTAAATTTGAGATATTTTTCAAGTATAGAATTTTAGGAATAGAAAACCATCTCATCAGTGTTTTTATTTCTTTGAACAAGTATGTGTTATAAATTTTTCTATCTTTTTTTCTTCTTCCAGGAATGGGAAAGACCCATAAAGATGCAGCATCAGTCACTACAGCTCACTCAATCCCAGCGTCATGTGGCATCTATTACTTTGAAGTCACAGTCGTCAGCAAAGGAAGAGAGGGGTGAGTTCAACACTATTTCTTTGAGTTTCTTGTAGACCTAAACCTTGCCACATAATTCCCCGGTAGTTTGCAGCCACAAACCGTTGTCAGTCGTTACGTGTGCGTAACAGTGTCTGCATGGTGAGACTATGCTGATAGCATACTGCATCGAGGCACTGTACTTTAGCTGCTCCGGACACAGCTACCTGTACATGCAGATACTGACAGAGCTAGGCTCTGCTCAAGGCTTAGGAACTCCAGGAATTCAGGAATCTTTTTAATGCAATAGATCATTCAATAGTTCTGTTGTAGCCTCTAAAATGTGTAAGTTTAAAAAGATGTTGTTTTTATTATTATTATTAGGATGCTATAATAATAATGAAATTTCTGAACAGGACATTCATGTCCATATTGGAGATACGTGCATTTTGCATGATACTGATATCAGTATTCTAATTGAATTTGACGGAGTGGCAGAAATTTGAAGCAAGTCAGTCGATATCTACCCTGATACTGTTACAGTAGCGGTTATGATATCAATTTCACTGATACCACTTTTCCAAGTAAATGCCCAGTGACATTTTAAAGTCCTTAATACTGAAATCAAATGCATAATTGCATATTATCTTGACTACTTACTTAGATTGCTTATTCATGCATTGAGAAAGTAGTATTGTACTTTGTTTTTGAGCAAGCACTCAAACAAACCTGACATGGTAGATAGAGTGCATTATAAATATTACTGTTGCACGACAGTATACAGAAAATATACTTTTCATTTTTTTTCTCCACCTGATATTTTGTCCCTGCGTATTTTACCACCTTTCACATACTTATATGAACAGTGTTACTGGGTTAGGGGTTTTAAAGGGGTTTATCAGACAGCGCTAAATGACATGTTATCCAATGCAGAGTGTAGACCTGTCTCAAATATAATTTCTCCTCTCATAGGGTACATACATGTACATGTAGATATTGGGAATCCCGAAGAATTGCAGGTGTTTAGCCGATCCAGTGAATGTCAGCATGTCAACCGATTTGACAGTAAAGTCTGTTATTCCCACTGTCCCTTCCCATGAATTTCAATGCAAGAAGCGACTCTATCCCGCAAAATATCTTCAGAGATGAAATTATATGGTGACGGACGGGTTCAACAAGCACAATACAGTGTTATCCTGTCCTGTACAAAATACAAAAGCAAATACCTCTGGTTTCCCAGTATGTTTTTTTTTTTAAATGATGGCATGAATTTCACAGATTTTTGCAGTGTAAATGCCCGCTCTCAAAAAAAATTGGTGAATGATTCCGCTTTTTGGTCACCTGAATCTCCTCGCTTCCGTACGATCGTCTACAGAGCAGCAACAAGTCCCGCAAGCGCCCTAGTCACAAAAAAAAAAAAAAAATAAGCAGACACCTAAGTTTTTAAATTGTTTTTTCTGCTAGTGTAAATGGCAATCCCCAAATCTATGATTTTTCCAAATGGTGTTTCGGGCTGCGTAAATGGCCTTATTCTCTCATATCCCCCTGGGCCCTCCCCCATCTCCTTTTGTCTCTGGTGGCAAAGGAGATGCTCTGACATTTATGTCACCTGATAGTTGTCGCGGGGGTGTCGGTTGCTATCTGAGTTCGGCCATTGGTATTTGTTTTCAGAGCAGATGCTCTCTTGTCAACATTTCTGTTTTTAGCATCCAGGAATTGTAAACAAAAAAACAGGATTAGCGGGGACAAAATTCCCAGGACAAAATTCCCAGGACAAAATTTCAAGGATATTATGATGACAAGTCAAAAACACTTCAGTTGACATTTATTACAGTTCTGCCTATTCTAACATTCGATTTATCCATGCACGTTGGAATCATGTTATATTCCATGTTGATAATATGAGGTTCATCTGAATACTGGTTCTTGTAATGAATGAGTGTTCATGAGATGTCATCAAAGATTCATGTTTTGTCACTAGGCAGTCTAGACATGCTTATAATACCCTATTCATACTGTGATGGGTATTACATACTCTAGTCTAAATACTGTTGATTCTAGTTATAATGGGTGTTGTTGTAAACATTATTTCAATAAAAAGGCATGCTGCATCAGTAGTAACTAGTTACCCTGTGAAAAATAACACAAATTTTTGTTCTTTGCATGGACAGTGAGGGAACCTCATGAACCATGAATTTTATTCTGCTTTTATGTCAATTGTGTGTTTATATCAAAAGTTAATACTGGATGGTTGAAGTAGCAGATTTGCTCGTATTGTTCACATTTATCTTTTTAAAAATATTGAGACATGTTCCTCATTCTCTGCGATTGACACTTCTGAGAGTATGAAAACATTATGATTTCTGTAATCAAGAAACCAAGCATATTTGTTAGATAGGTATTACACTGAAGTTTCAACAAAGTCTGAAATAACTTCCTTTGTTGGCACTTCTTCATCAATCTCCTCCTTTTAAATAAACAAGAAATAGGTGGATCAGGAAATCAATATTATGTTGTTGTTGCAATGATATCATTCTAGGAGTAGGATCCTATACTGTCAGTACCTATTGGTGTTGTTGCAGTTCTTCATGTGCTACATGTACTATGTAGGTTATGCATTGCCACAAAAACATAGCCTTGCAATGAGTCATAACAAAGGATATAGTTCCAAAACAACTCTCTGGTCCTTTGTCCTAGCGGTGGTTCCAAGTATCTTTCCTGTTTAGCCTTTAGTGAACCTCTAGTCCTCATCCTCAAGCTATATAGTGATTTTTTTAAATATTGAAACTGAATTTTGAGGGAGGGTATTTTATAACTTTTTTTTCTCTGAATTGTTGATAGGAAGCAGAAGCTGGATTTATTACAGAAAGTGAAACAAGTGACTTGTATTTGCACAAATGGTCATTAATAGACACTTGTAGATGTGTGATACATGTGCATAAACTATTACAGTTTAAACCTTGATAACATATGATATGGTAATACTTCTTTAAAAAACAAACATTGCGTGACTGAATGATACTTTTAGGTAAAGCAAAATTACAAGTCTTATCATTGTGAAGAAGAAAAAAAAGCTTGAAAGTGAAATTATGAAGATGAAATGAATAGCGAGCTGTCATTAATCATTTTGATGTTTTGGAAACATTTAGGTCAGCACTTACATGTAGCCAGAGATGGACAGTGTTTGCAAAGTATATAGAACAATATTATGATTCAAGATTGTTGCGGAATAGGTAAACAAATGGAAAGTGTAACATGCTTGAATTTGGTCAATCATTTACGTACATACATATTTATGTGTGTATGGTGCTACATTTGTAGGTCACTTGGGTCATGTCATATTCTTCTCAATGGTGACATTGATTGATCTGAGAACGGATTTATACTTTTAGGAAATGGGATGGATGATAAATAAATCTCAGATTTGTCTCCGAAAGGGGAATGAGGCCTCAGAAGGGAACCCACTTCATGTCTTTCCTCGGGGCTTAGCATAAAATGTTAACCATAGGGTCCTTCACATTGCAGAAAAACAAATTTGAAACACCATTGGTTCTTTAAAACTACCATTGAAACTACTGGAAAGCCCATAGAAAAACGTTGGTCTTTCATAATTTTGTTGTTTTGGTCGAGTTGTGGGCATGCGCCACTTACCGCTGCTCTGCATGCGTTAGCACGGAAGCGAGGAGGGTCACATGACCAAAACCGTAATATTTCACAGGTGTTTTGAGAGCGAGCATTTACGCTGCAAAATTGGATGGACTTTCGGCCTACATTGAAGAAAAAAATATGCTCCAGAACTGAAGTGGGTTTTTCTATTCATGTTTTTCGTCATGATAAAGAGTAGTTACCTAGCATCTTCCTACAAAACTCAGGATTTTGAGAAAACTCAGGATTTTGAGAAAAATCAATAGTTTTCTGCTTGCAGTGTAAATGTACATGTAGCTCATGGCCACATAAGCCCTTCAGTTGATGGAACGCTTGCCATCAAGTATTGGAATTCTCTCATAGTATAGTATTAATGACTGCTTTGAGAGAAATAGTTGTTTTATTACGCTCAAGGGAAGGTTAGAATTGGGCTATTCCCCGAGGCTTGCCGAGGGGAATAGCCCAATTGTAACCTTCCCGAGAGCGTATGAAAACAACTATTTCTCGAATATTAAAGCAGTCATTAATACTTTTATATGCCGAAAAAAAATAGACTAAAAAATAAAAAATAAAAAATAATTTTTTTTTTGTCGAAGGTGAGAGTCGAACTCTCGCGTACGATGAGTGATGAATCTAACACCAACGCCTTACACCACTCGGCCATCGCGCGCTGTTCACGAGCATGGCAGTTTTGTACAATATATACATTACAGTGGATTGAAACCGGCTTCGGCGTGATGAATGCTTCGCAAAAGCACCCTTCTTTTACTTTTGCAATGCATATTGGCACGAACTTAGATCAAGATCTATCGGCAGATGTTGTTTTTTTGTTTTTGGAAGTTTATTTTCGTCTTCATGTCAACAATGCAAGATAAAATTGTCGGTAAGATCGATCGAGATTCAATTGTATTGAAATTACCGACCAATCCTTCGCACACATACGGTATCCTCGATCGCTCAAACCATTTTTTAACATGTAAACCTATGGGGTAACCATGGAGGCTGACCTATTTTTTTAATAACCATGGTTATTAAAAATAGTAAATGTTTTATGCATGGTTACCGGGAATTTTACAGGAACAGTTGAAGTTTATGAATGCAATTCGACCAATCAGATGGCTGGATTTCTTAAGTGAGGTATATAACAATCTTTGTTCCACCCATACTTTACCTATTCAGTCATTTGATGAGGTATTGTCGGAATACAGAAAATTAGAAACACAAATATTGTTGTGTTACATTTGAATTGGCTCATTTGAAATCAAAAGAAAAATCGTTGAATACAGACATGTTCAGGGATGCAAAATTTGAAACATTTCTTTTTGCAAAAGCAGTGAAAATTGACATCTCTTGGCCAACTTCTGTCTTCTGTAATGTAACCTTGAATATACTCTTTC